AGATAATAAGATGAATAATAAGATACCGAAAATGCCCAACTGTACCTATAGCAACTTTTTCTTCTGTTTATGTCTAATCAAAAATTGTTGGATATGATGAAAATGGTTTATCTATTCAATTGTTAATGATAAAAATTTTGTTGTCATTTTTCAGACCAGTTTTGTAATGCAACGTAAGAAAATCTGGATTGACCAAATTCAATTCAAATTTTCACGTTTATCCCCCCCTCTAAAATTTCAAGCGTGCCTATGTGTGATGGTCAATGTTAAAACTATTTTCAACATGAACATTGTAAAACATTGTGAAAATGTGCACATGACATGTCATTAAGGAAATGATGAATGATACACACACATCGAATTGGCATGCTGTACTGTGAAGTTGCGTTTACATCAGGCCATTGTTTTACTTTTCTATCTGTCATATTGCACAGGGTCGCTTTTGGCGCTCATTCTCATATTGACATTTGCTGTCAAATATTTCAAGTGACCACGCAACACCATAGCATCAGAAGCATAACGCAATTTTACTCATTTTTTAAAGCTAAACAACTCTGGTGTCTGTAAAATATTTTTGTAGAAAAACAAACCGAATCGTTCACATAAATTTTTGTGATGTTATTCTCCAAATATGGCGATGACAATTGCTTCAACCACAATTAAACTATACTATACAATTTTGAAGATCAGCGAATTTGACGAACAATTCACACCTGAAGTCATGATTCAAGGTGTACCATGGTGTGTTCAATTCAAAAAGATGTCCGCTGCAGGAGAGGAATGGCTCAATGTTTATTTGTTTTGCAGAAATAAAGATGCATCACGCGACGGGTCACACACTGCTTTTGCCTCAGTTAAACTATTGCCGTTCAAGAAAAATGTGAAACCAGTTGAAAATCATACAAAACCATATATTTTCAGTAGCTCACATCGGGGTTTTGGTACAGCTGATTTCATCACATGGGAACGGTTGACCAACATTGAAAATGGATTTGTACGTGATGACACCACCAAGATGGAGATTAAAATTGAAGTCGCCGATCCAAATTATGAAGATAAGAGCATTTTGAAGTTTGATGTTTTGGACAAATGTTGTGAATGCGTTAATCGCACATTGTTCCGATTGACTGTTTCCAATCTCGATGCACTGATGGCGGTTGGAACGCCAGAATTCATTTTGTCTGGTTTCCATTGGAAAATTTCAATTTTCAAAGATGCATCACAATCGTTGGGCATTCGATTGGAAACCATTGAAGATGATAAAAAAGCTACATGTGAAATGACAGCCACTTTCAAGCTCATTTCTGCGAACGATGATACCAAGTCAATTAAGCATAAGCTCAAGAAGAATAAATTGTCTTACATCCGTAAGATGAACTTTTCCGCACTGTGATCCACAACATGCATTTATTACAAATCTTTTACTCAAAGAATTCACGAGAAAACTGAATCTGACATTAGTTTTACGATACAAATAATTTTCGAAGCACTTTTCATACAAAAACTACTAAAAATGGGAATTTTTGTATCGCAGCCATGCCTATATGATATCGTAATCATGTGAAAATTTGCATGGGTTATTTTTTTCACAAAAAGTTAACATTCTGAAAGTTTGAAGAAATTTCAATGCATATTAAGGGTACTTCCCATACAAAATTCCGTTTTTGAGCGAAAAATCCAAAATTTTGTTAGAGAGGTACCCCTAATATGCGTTGGAATGTCTTCAAACTTTCGGAATGGTATTTTTTTGTGATAAAAATAACCTGTGCAAAGTTTCAGCTCATTACGATATCATACAGACATGGCTTCCATACATAAATTCAATTTTTTTGAAATTTTTGTATGAAAAGTGTGTCGAAAGTTATTTGTATCGCAAAAATACCGTCATTTTGAGTGTTTAAGAATACATTAAATATCACTTTTGGAAGAAAAATTGAATTTTTCCCATGGATGCCCATGGGCATCACACCCGACATGACACTTCACTGTATCAACCAAAGTCACTCAATATCTAATGGTTTCTATTCCTCGGCACCCCCAATCATCCTGTACAGCGTATAGCGTACAGGGTACCACGCACATACATTCGGACATCGAAAAAACGCTAGATTTGTGTTCCCTAACTCCTAAAACATCCAGAAAACATGTTTTTTGAGGGTGTTAATTTTTCGACCGATTCCAATACTTTACCTTACACACTAGGTGTGTGCGGAAAAGTAAAATGAACAGAGGATATGTTTTACAAAAAGGGCAATTTTTATCGTGGGACAAATTATTTGATGACCAAAATGGTTTTGTTCGTGAAAATACGATTGTATTCGAAGTCAATATCATTGCAGATCAGCTCAATTTGGCCAATAAACGACAAGCGACCGGTGGCCAAAATGAAGATGCAAAATCATCGAAATTGGAATGCGCAATCTGTATGGAAGCCATTCGCAATCAAGAACTTTCATCGCTCCGATGCACCCATCTGTTTTGTACAAAGTGCATCGAAGATGCCATCAAAATGCACGAGAAGTGTCCAATCTGCAATGCTGTAGCTAAATTGACCGATTTACGGCGCACTCGTTTGCCATTGTAAGTGGAAACTCAACAATTTGATTTGTTATTTCATAAGTAGGACTAATATTCTTTGTTTACTTTGAATTTACAGTGCAAAGTAGGCCGGATCAGATCCGAATCAATCAGAAGTCACATCAGAAGGAAGCGAACAGTAACAACCGATTTGCCAATTATGCGACTATTTCCATAATATTACAATTTCACATCTTTCTGTCTTTAATTGAAAATCAACATTTCTTTTATTTAAAATTCCTTGAAAATATAAATTCATCTTACTTTGGTTTTTACAGTTCTTATGAACATATTACTGATAACATCGGTTGAATAAAAATAACTATTTTAAATAAAAAAATGTTTTTCTCTAGTTGTCATTAATATCGTTTGAAAAGAATGGAGAAAAAAATTGATGTGCTCGTGGATTATTATTCAGTTTTTCATCCAAAAACATCAAAAAAGAGAAAAATACTTGATTGCTTGGAATAATCTAAAATGAAATTCATTGTTTAACGAAAATGATGGTACAGCGCATATTCATAACTAATACATAGGGACACGAACAAGATAATTGTCACTCTAAGCTGCGTTCACATTAGAATACTGTTAATGTTTTAGAACAAAATGTTCTAGAACTTTCGAAATCGATCTGTCAAATTGCACAAGTCTGTGTTTGGTGCTCATGCCCATAATGACATTTGTAGTCAGTCGTACACGAGCCAGCGTCAACAGTACACGTTGCTCATAAGCATCGCTCAATTTAATTCATTTCTATAACCACCGTAATTTTCATACCGAACAAAAATTGAATTTATTAAGTCGATTTAAGTTTCTTCAACGAAAGAATGGCAATGTCAGTGGCTTCAAACACAACCAAATTCAATTACAAAATTTCGAAACTAAGTGAGTTAGATGAACAATTCACACCCGAAGTTATGGTCCACGGCATTCCATGGTGTGTTAAATTCAAAAAGATACGTGACGAAGAAGAAGAATGGTTCGGCATTCAATTATGGTGTACGAATAAAGATGAAGCACGCGATTGGTCAAACACTGCTTTGGCCACAGTTAAATTATTGCCATTCGAAAAAAATATGGAACCAATCAAAGGCTACATTTCACCGTATATTTTCGGTAGCGCACATCGCATTTTTGGCATCAATAATTTCACCGAATGGGAATGGTTGACGAATGTTGAAAATGGATTTGTTCGTAATGGCACCATTCGGATGAAGATTAAAATCGAAGTTACTGATCCAAATGATAAAGATAAGAGCATTTTGAAGGTTGATGTTCTCGACAAATGCTGTGGACTTGGTAGTTATATATCATTCCGGGTGACTGTTTCCAATATCGATGGATTGGTGGCTGTTGGAACGCCAGAATTCAGGTTGCGTGGTCTACGTTGGAAAATGTCGATTTACAATGATGCGTCAAAATGGTTGGGCATCTTACTTGAGATCATCGGAGTTGACGTTACTGATGAATTTACATGCAATGCCACAGCTGTTGTCAAGCTCATTTCCACAAAAGATGATGCTAAGACAATTAAGCGCGTATTCGAGGAAACATTGGACAAACGTAATATATTGGGCGAATGCGAATTTGTATCGTGGTACGATTTATTTGATGATCAAAAGGGTTTTGTTCGTGATAATGCAATCGTGTTAGAAGTCAAAATCATAGCAAAACAACCTTATTATGCTGGTCGAAGTGGAGAGAAACGCCAAATGGTCAATGGCCAAAATGAAGATGTAGAGTTGCTGAAATTGGAGTGCTCAATCTGTATGGAAGCCATTCGCGATCAAGAAATTTCATCACTCCCATGCACTCATATGTTCTGCACAAAGTGCATCGAAGATGCTATCAAAGCACGCAAGAAGTGTCCAATCTGCAATACTGCAGCTGAATTGGCCAATTTACGGCGCATTCGTTTGCCATTGTAAGTGGAGACTCATTAATTTGATTTATACGTGGGACTAATGCCTTTGTTTACTTTGAATTTACAGCGCAATTTAGGCCGATCCCGATCACCAAGATGACACCTCTCAACCAATCGAGTATCAAATGAATTCAACAAGAGATCTGCCAATAAAGCGACTGCTTCCATTCACAATATGGACAGCCTTTAAAATCTTATTAAATAAATATCAATATTTTTCTCTTTTTTGCAATTTATTATAAAAATAAACGCTCAATTCATTTTCCTTATGTATTAAAGGGTTACTCATTCAACATTAATTCTTGTAAAGATAATATTTAAAGAATAAAATCGATTCGTTATCGGTATCTCTGGAGTACCATCGTTTTATGTTCGAAAATATTTTATTTTCTGTTTGAAAAGGGTCGAAATAAAATCGTATCAACTCTGCTCATGCAAAAACGAGTAAATTTTTGCTATGAAAATTGTTGGTGATATAGATTTAATAATGGTGATGTCGACATAGCATTTGTTTTTCATAATATGTGCAAATGATCTGAATAACTTATGAACACAGACACGCACAAGTTGAATCGACATGCAATGCTATTTGAAGTTGCGTTCACATTAGACCGCGGTTGTGCTTTTCTGAATGTTCTAGAATTTTCGATCTGTCAAAATACTTTGGCGCTCATTCTCGTAGTGACGTTTGCAATAGCATATGGCTAGTATCCTGCACAGACGCCGTAACGCAAAACAGGTTATACTTATAAGCTTTGAGCCATTTTATTCATTTTTCTTGAAGTTAATTTATTTGTTGTATTGTATATTTTCAACTTTGGCAGATATTCAAGATCACATTTATCAAGTCGTTTTTTGGAACTTCATTCTTCGGCGAAAGCACAACCATGTCTTCAACCACGATCAAATTCATTCATAAAATGTCAAACATCAGCAAGTTTTCAATGCAATTTACACCTGATGTTATGATCCAAGGTGTGCCATGGCGTGTTCAATTCAGAAAGTACTGCGGTTTAAATCTTGGGGTTTATTTAATGTGCAAAAATGAAGATAAGTCACGAAATTGGTCACACACTGCGTGCTTCACAGTTAAATTCTTGTCATTCAAGAAAAGTGTGAAACCAGTTGAAGAGCATACGTCACTATGTATATTCGATCACGCAAATAAATGTTCTGGTATTTGTAATTTCGACAAATGGGAGCGATTAACCAACATTGAAAATGGATTTGTGCGTGATGACACCATCCTGGTGGAGATTAAAATTGAAGTCGCCGATCCAAATTATGAAAACAAGAGCATTTTGAAGTTTGACGTTTTCGATACATGTTGTAGATATAGTGAGCATAGGACGTTCCGATTGTCTGTTTCCAATATCGATGCATTGATGGCTGTTGAAACGCCAGAATTCATATTGCGTGGCTTACGTTGGAAAATGTCGATTTACAATAGATCAGATTGGCTGGAAATTCAGTTGTCCACCGTTGAAATCGGCAAGTCAATTACTTGTGAAACGACAGTCATCTTCAAGCTCATTTCCACCAAAGATGATGCGAAATCAATTGAACATAAGCTCATTAAGAAAATGTATGGACATGATATTTTAACAAAAAAGAACTTTGTATCATGGGTTGAGTTATTTGATGATCAAAATGGCTTTGTTCATGATAATGCAATCGTGTTCGAAGTAAAAATCGTAACAGAACTTCATAATATTGATTGCAGTGGCAAGAAACGAAAAACAGCCAATGACCAAAATGAAGATGCAAAATCACCGAAATTAGAGTGCTCTATCTGTCTGGATGTCATTCGCGATCAAGAAGTATCATCGCTCTCATGCACTCATCTATTCTGTACTAACTGCATCACAGATACCATCAAAGCACACAAGAAGTGTCCAGTATGCAATGATGCAGCCAAATTGACCGATCTACGCCGCATTCGTTTGCCATTGTAAGTAGAAACTCATCCATTCTATTGTTGCGAAACTGAAATTAATGTCTTTGTTTGTTTCCTATTTATAGCGCAAATTAAGCTATCGCTTACACTCAAATACAGCGAAGATCAAATGGACGTAACATGCCACCGGCAAATAGAGAAGATATATGACCATACTAATCAAGACAATTTCGTTTTCAAATAACATAACCGCTTTTTACTCATATTTAGAATTCATTTGGCTTCAGTTCTTCTAGTTTATTTATCAAAGCTCATGACATCAATTCATGTAAAAGTTATGAGCTATGAATAAAAATACAATAAAATTTGATTTGATTCGTCTATGTTTTCAGTTTTCCTTTTGTTACATCTTTGAGAGGGATGACTCTCTGTGCTCGAAAATAATTTATTCTCTATTGAACATGAGAAGATAATTCGATTAATTAAAATCAATTAAAACAATGCAAATTGAAGTACGTTTGTCAACAAAATTGATAACTTGTGTATAAAAACATAATGGCTCTATCAAGAGTGCGATTTAAAGTTTGCAATTCTGTTGTATTTGTGCAAATGACGGGAATAGCTTGACACACAAGTCGAATTGGCATGCCCTTTAAAGCATCGCTCACATCAGCTGGACTGACTAGCTATTCGAATAGAATATTCTAGAGCTTTCGATCTGTCAAACTACATATTTTGGCGCTCAATCTCATATTGACGTTTGCCATCATAAATTGCAAGTATTCTTACACAGCACCTGCTATTCATAAGCATAACACGATATCTCACAATCCGAATAGCTTATAAAAGTAAAATAAATCTTAAATATCCAGTAATTACAAATTAGTGTACAAAACCCATAGCCGTGGTCTATTATAGGAATTCCCATATAAATTTTGTGACCGAAAACACTGACGCCCTCCCTGATTGCATTAAATCAAACTAATGTTTTGTGTTGCATCTAACAGATGGCGCTCGCATATTCACAATAACAAAAATCCATTTAAAAAGTCTAAAAAGTACAGAAAAATAATTTAAAAAAATAACAATAAATAAATTTTAAAACGTTTTTTAATGGAAATTATTTTTCTTTCTAATTTTGTGAAATTTACTTTTCTCAATATCGCTCAATATTGAAAAATATTAAATTAGAAAAATAAAATGGTTAACATAACCTTTTTTTGTCACAATGATACAAGTTGATTGCAACATAGCCCCACTTTCAATTACGCAATTTATTAGACGTCCAATACAAATAGAAACATAACACTTTGAGACAGATTAATTTACTTTAATGTTATGAGGGTACAGAGTAATTTATATTTTTTATAAACCTTAATGATTTCCCAAATTCGTTACTTCTTTCAATGTTTTTTTAAGTTTAAAAACTAATTTATTTGCTTTAAAAACGTTATTACAACAATTGCGTAATTGAAAGTGAGGCTATGTTGCACACTTTTTGATTTAGTTATTTTCGAATATTTTGAATTCTTAACTTAAATTAACATTTAAAAATATATTTACATTTATTTTGTAAATATTTTCTGGTGTTTTTTAGCTTTTTTTTTGCAATCAACTTGTATCATTGTGACAAAAAAGTGAGGTTATGTTAACCATTTTATTTTTCTAATTTAATATTTTTCAATATTGAGCGATATTGAGAAAAGTAAATCTCACAAAATTACAAAGAAAAATAATTTCCATTAAAAAACGTTTTAAAATTTATTTATTGTTCCTTTTTTAAATTATTTTTCTGTACTTTTTAGACTTTTTAAATGGATTTTTGTTATTGTGAATATGCGAGCGCCATCTGTTAGATGCAATACAAAACATTTGGCACAGATTAGTTCGATTTAATGCAATCAGGGAGCGCGTCAGTGTTTTCGGTAACAGATAGACCACCGCTATGACAAAACCAGTAGTTTCTTTTTTAATAATCGAATTTATCAATTTAATTTGTATAATTTTATTCTCCAGCGAAAGTACAATCATGTCATATGCTGCAAACATGACAAAATTTATTCATACCATTTCGAAATTGGGTGAGTTTAACAAACAATTAACACCCGAAGTTATGGTCCAAGGCATTCCATGGGATGTTGAATTCATAAAGGAACCCTTTAAAGGAGAGGACGTGCTCGCTGTTTATTTGTTTTGCAGAAGTAAAGATGCATCATGCGACTGGTCACACGCTGCTTTTGTCACGATTAAACTATTGCCGTTCAAGAAAAATGTGAAACCAATTAAGAATCGTATACGACCATATATTTTCGGTAGCTTACATCGGGGTTTTGGTACAGCTGATTTCATCAAATGGGAACGGTTGGCAAACATTGAAAATGGATTTGTGCATGATGACACCATCCAGCTGGAGATCAAAATTGAAGTCGCCGATCCAAATTATAAATAAAGAGGCTTACGTACGCAAGCTGACTTTTCCGCATGGAACCGAAATTTTGGGAATAAACTGAAATCATGGTCTTTGTATGGTTGCAGTCACTTAAATTACCGTGAAAACTTGTGAATATTATTTTCTTATCAAAATAAATAATCACACCAAGTTTAAAGAAATTTCAATCCAAAAAATAGCCTGTTCAAAGTTTCAGATCATTACGGTACCACAAAGGCAAGTCTTTCATACAAAAATGAAACTTTTTGTGGATTTTTGTATGAAAAGTGTGTGAAAAATTGATTGCATCTTAAAACTAACATCAGATTCGGGTTTCTCCAAGATCTCTAATACAGTAGCTTTTTTATATGAAATCTGTCACACTAACGCCCTCACTCTATCTTTTGGCGAACTAAACAGAATAAAGTTTAATATAAAAGTAAAGTGTCCATCAGGATATTTTATACAGCCGGTGTCAAGATCAATAAAACTGTTAATAGAATCTGCCATTTTTACGCAATTTTGCGATGTGATTGCCAGATTAAGAATATAAATAAAATAAATGAACGGAATAAACGAACTTAACAGAACAGAATAATTCGCACGAGTGTATGACAAGTATGTAAGAGAACAATAACATTACGTTTTGTATCTATCTGTCAAATGTCACACTCACACTTATGAGTTTACGTATGGAGATTTTAACAAAATCATTTCTACAAGATCTACACACTCTACACCCGAGGCTTTTTAAGTTAAATTAAAACGCATATAAATTTATGTTTTTTTTTAAATAGAAATTATCTAA